ATAACCTCCAAATGCATTTTATTCTAGATAAATCCATACAAACACCAACATGTATTTGTCATTTGAACTTTTTTAAAAATTATTTATTTTAAATAACAGGTTAACTGCTGTACAAGAGGAATTACTTCACACATTAGTGAGATATGACTTGAAACTAGATGACTGCAAAATAATGCTAAGTAAGCTAGCTTGGAAAAGACGGTTTGCCATAGAAGTTTGCCTGTAAACATGTGAAAAGTAAGTTAAAAGAGAAGTTTGATTTCATTTCAGTGAACGCTGCTAAAATTGTTGGGCTGCCATGACACAGCTTTAGTCATAGGTGGTTCTTTTTGTCCTGGTAATGGTGAATTGCAGATATGAAAGGTGTACCAATGTTTTGTGTGCTGACCCAAACCTACCAAAAGAGCCACAATCACTTCATTATACTTCACATCATTTTGTGAGATCCACTTGGTGGGTTACAAATTTCCCAACATGACTTTAAATGGTTTACTAACAGAGTGATGCTGTTTAGGAGGCTTGAATAAACAGCAATAATCCTACTCCAGGCAGTAGGCTAAAGCTACAGGGCCTGCTTCAACACATACTTAATCTCTAGAAAGCATGAAACTATAGCATTAAACTACTGCAAACAAGCAGTAGTACAAATACAGAATAGGACCGATTTTTGTGTCCTCATGATAAAAACACAAAGTTCACAGGATCAGACCTACGCAAACATTATATTTTACAGCTTTTCAAGCAGAAATTTCAGGTTGGGGTTTGAGGTGTTTTGTTTTCTGCCTGTACAGAAGGTTTTTGTTGAAGGAATATATCACAGTTCACTCAAATGCACTGCCAGCAAAGACACCTGAAGTACAATGGAACTGCGGAGACATCTGTCTAACTGGAAGGAGTAATCCACTCATGTCCCTTCTTTAATATTAGTAACTGTGCTTTTTAATTTTTTTTTTTTTTAACGCTGCTTTAAAACATTAGGTTAAGAATGATAAAAATCCAGCCCTTAAGTACAGGTAGTCGAAGCTTAAGTGCTACTCAAGCCACAGTCTTTTCCTTCAGGACAGCAGGTGGGACAGTTTAGGGTTGGGGTGGGTTTTGTTCCAAGTAAAGTTACAACAATATATTTATTGTGCCAGGCATAGAACTGCTGAAGGTACTGCAACCTTGTAGTGCAGTTTCCTGAAGAAAGCTATACATTCCATCAAGTATAAAGTGTAAACTTAATAGCAAGTGTTAAGACGTGAATTACAAAAAAACCACCACCACCAACTGAAGCCCTCACAGCATTAGGGTGGTGGCTGGCCTCACTGATGCGCCAGAGGTACCCCTCCTGCAATGCTGAGGTCGGGCAGGGTGGACCAGCAGGCAGTGGGGTTTGGCGTTTGCTTCTGTCTCAGTGTTAACAGGTGGCCGTGCCCCTGCCCAGGCGCAACCGGTTACTGTGAGCCTGCCTGGCACCGGCTCCTGGCACCAACGCCACCAACCCAGGCAGCGGGCCCCTGGACTCCCCCAGGGCAGCAGGATGTGCCAGTCCATGGGCCCAGCTCGCTGCTGCCCCAGAGCCCCGCGCAGGAATCGCTGCCCGGGAACGGCCCCAGCCTGGGCTTGCTGTGCAATGCTTGGGTGCGTGGCACCCTTGCCAAGGCAGGAGATGCCTCTAGAAAATGCGGAAATCACGTCTGCGGCAGGTGGTACCTCGGTAAGTGCCTCTGTGCGGCTGAGGCGGAGTCCACTGCACCAGAACACTCTGGGGTTGGGGAGGGTGGGACTGTGCTGGTGCGGTCGCAGAGCCTGAGCCACGTCTGCTGCTCCGTGGCCTCACGCAGGAGCCGCTGCACCAGCCTGGTTGCAGCAGCATGGCCACGCAGCTGCTGTCCAGCTGGGCTAACTCTAGCCACCTATGCAGATGTAACGCATGCCATCATTGCCTCAAAGAACAACCCAGCAGGACTGAGGCTGACACTTGCCTCCTCTCCACCTGTAGCTATCACCTTTGCAGCAGCTCCTCAGACCCAGAGATGACACCAGCCCTCCTGTTCTTACATATTAGAAACCTAACCCTCTTGACAAAACCTTTGCCTGGAAAACCTGAAAAAACATGCTGGCTTTAGCTTTGTGAGGCCCTTACACACAGGTGGCAAGACCGGCGGGGACTGTCAGCACTGACACGTGGGTGGGTCACGCACCCGAGTGCAGGTTTGTGCAGCCACCACCAGCCGCTCCATCAAGTCACGATGGTGCCCCACGCACGGAGCTTTCACGCGCGGAGCTGCTCACAGGCATTTCACAGCTTAGTTAAGGATAGCAAGGTAGAAATGTAAACACAGACTGATGCCAGTCTAGCGCCTTTCTCCAAAAGCCTCCCCAGCCTGCTCAGGGCTTGGCTTTGCTTTGCACATGGAATTTCTAACCTAAGGAAGATAGGCCCTGCCATGTGGTACTGGGCCTTCAAACCTCAGATGCACTTTTTCTGCTGAACAGTTGTCCTAAGTGTCACTTTGGTGCTGTTTTTTTTGTTTGTGTGGGGTTTTTTTTTGAACAGGAACCAGTAGAGATTTTTTGGAAGGCGGGAGAGTGCAGCTAACCCGTATTCTGCAGCCAGAGCTCATCCTCACAGTTTGCCAGGGCTGCTGAAAGGATGTGATGAAACGTCAGCTTTCTCTCTTTAAAAAAAGAGCTACGCAACTCAGAAGTTCACATGGGCAACTCTGACCTTGTGACACGTTTTGTGCACCTCCTGCAAGCTTGTTTTTAAGTAAGGAGAAAGCTTATTTAGGCAGTATTTTTGAACCAAAAGATACAGGTGTTCAAGTACCTACAAATGCTGGCCCTGCCAACACTAGACTCACTTTCACTTTCACGTGCCCACGTTGACTATCTAGACCTGCCCGTACTCCATTACCAAAAGTATATATTACTTGGAGTGGTCAGAGTGAAGAAGAACGTTCAAATGTTTCAAACACTGTTCACAGTCAGTCAAATAAGTTTTGGGAGCGGCAGCATTTACTTAAAATCCCCCACAGTGATTCTGTGAGTCAGGGCTCTGCTCAAAACCATTTGCATTTTCCCTTTTCATCAAATAGGGCTTTTACTTGATGGAGCTGTTTCTGGACTTCTTCCAACCCCCGTTCTCGCTCGAGTTTGCTGTCAATCTGTTAAGAATTAGCAAGAAAAGAGAATCATCTTTTTAGTGCTTATTTTGCTTTTTGTTTTTTTTTTTAAAGCCTGCTTTTCTGCACTCCAACAACTACTGGCAGAAAAATCCATCTGAATGCCTGCCTATATGTAAACATTCTTTTCTGACTTTAACACTTTATTTTGGTAGTTTTCCTTTCAAGTCATTATGATTACAGGATTCGCAACACTTCCACAAAATGGAAGAGCCCAGGAAAAAAAACAAAAAAAAAACCAAAAAAAACACCAAACCAAAACAAATCCAACACATATTCATCTCTTGAAGTGTGAGGCAAGGCGGGTGACTTGCAAATGATATTTTATCTCCCTTCCTCTGCCCTATAACCTGAGGGCACTAAACTGCCTGTCTTCCTCTAACTGCCCCACTTGGCACCAGCCCAGGTGATAGGAAGGAGCACTACTGCTGCCTGAAAACTCTTTGCTGGCGACTCTACAAAGCGACTGAGATCTCAGCAAACAATGCATGAAGTTTAGCTGCTAGAGGGGGGAGAGCAGGGAGAGGGTTTCCCTCCAAGGATGTGGTAAGTTTAGCCCCAGTACTAGCTTCAAAAAAGGAAAAATGGGCACTAAGATTAGAATGTATTCTGAAGTCTCCTGCGTCAACATTTTAATGAGCTTAATAAAGTGTGGTGCCATTCTGAGTATCATCCCAAGCTGCTTTTAGGAGGCAAAGATTTGATGCCGAACCCAGATAATTTGAGACAGAGGCCAGCAGAGGTAAGCTGGCTAACAGGTGACTGAGAGCTGGATGATTACAGCAAGCGCTGATGCTGTGCTGTTGGAGATGAAAGAGAAAAAAGTCTGGTTGCTGGGAGACCCAGACAACCTGCTGGAAGTGGTAAGGAGGCCTTCAGGCAACACGCCCCAGCCAGCTCTTATCTGAGTTCCTGCGCAGGCACACGCAGCCGCTGTTAAGGACGGTGAGCAAAATGGATGGAGAATCCTATCATGCAAAGAAGAGGGCTTGGATTTTCTTACACAGCAGCTGAGAGGTAGCCTGTGAGTAATGCTTTCAGCTGAGAGATTTCTTTTGTTGGCAATAGCCAGGAATGGAAGCTACAGCTTCTTTTCTTTAACAGAAAGATTATTAGAGCAGAGCGTAGGAGGGCTACGATGGGAAAGGAGCAGACACCTCTTGCTGTAAGGCTGCGTGTGCTCTGCCGAGGTGTTTGCACTGACTGTTAAGTCAGGATCCCTGGTGCTACAGCCTAATCTTATTCCTGAATCCCCAGGGAAATGGAGGACCTGCACAGGAGTTGTGACAAGCATGAGCAGATACACTGCAAACACAGGAAAACAATAAGTCTAGATGATACAGGAACTTTCTCAAAACCACAGGGAGAATTTTATTGCTACTCTCCCTGTGAAACACAGCCGTGACAGTCAGGGTGCATTTACAAACCTCTGGGGTGTGACCCCTCCCAGGGTTGGGCCTCCTGCCCTGCTCTAGCCCCACACAGCTCAGCTGGAAGAGCATCCCCAGGGGCACCACTGAGAGGCTCTCTCTGGAGCAGCACCCAGCTGGTCACACACCAGGCCAGTCCTTGGCTACTTTGTCAAGCCCAGCTTTCTAGCCTGAGATACAAGTTGACACTAAGGAGTTATGCAGGAATGGCAGACATGCTTACCTCATCATAAATTTTTAGTAAGTATTTGTAGATTTCAGTCAAGGCCACTTTCTCATTAAATTCATTTTCATGTTTCTAAAACAGAGAACAGTTTTGGTCAGGTAGTTCTCCTTTTTAAAAAAGCTTAACATGAAAGCAAATGAAATTGCCACTTCTCAACTGTACCTTAGATTCCTGAGTTAGAAATTCTTCAACCTCTGAAGTGGTCAACGGTGGCAGATCCCTGATGGCTTTATAGTATGCTTTCACCTCCTTCTTGTAGAGTGGAATGTCCTTAGCATAGAGAAGCTTATTTGTTGGTGCTTCCTTAAAAGAAAATATTTGAAGCCTTGTCAATCTTCACAGCACAGATTTCTTAAGGTTCCACCTCCACATAGTTAATTGCATCTAATTGTGTCTGTTCTCTGTGTGACCCATTTCTCTGTGCGGTGGTTATGTGCAAGGACTCGAGGTTATGAAATAAAGATGAAGAACAGCCGCAGGACCCCAGCAACAGCGCACTGTGTTCCATGACAGTTGCCGTATAAGTATTTCTATTGGCATCAGGAGTGATGAACACTTGTCCCTCAGACATATTTTTCTTTCTTACTTCCTCTACACCACTCCCCAGAGCTGAAAGATTGTGAAAGCTGAACCAAAGGGCTGAGGCCGACACCCTATTTACACATAGGATACAGTAGTGCTGTGGAAAGTTCCCTCAGGGTAACATGCTAGAGAGCCTTTGCTAGATCCTGTTCTGGCAGAGCTTCCCCTAAAACTCCTTCCTGTCACTCCTTCCTCTAGAAAGTGGAGAGCTGGTGGCCAGGCAAGCACAGCCAAAGGGGTTTAATCTTTCTCCTCAGGGCTTCAACAACTCAGGTCAGCACAGACCTACCACGCAGCTTTAGGCTTATCTGAGGAAAGAAACACTGATGCTTGTGGTAGGAGCTGAAGCCCCGCCTGGAAACCATGTATTCAGAACCGACAAATCGGGGCTGGTAGTTTCCTGTCACCGCTCTAATTTAAATTCTGGAGAATAAATGACACAACCATGTGCCATCTTGTAACTACTGTCTCCACTGTGTGATGAAATTATTTAAATGTTTGTTTTCTAAGCGGCTAAAAAAAGTTTTAAGATAAAAGGCTAGAAACCATGAAAGTAAATAAGTTTTAGTTCTAAAAGGCCACAAGATGTTTACTGCATTGCAAAACTTTGAGTGTTTTTTTTTATCAGCCCTTTCCAAACAGCTAATGGGAGCTGTTGTATTAACGATACTTCGCAATGGATGTTGAGCATAGAAACCCAACAGATCCTGCTCATGTGCAGTTTCTCCCTCAAGTAAGTGATGTGATTAGTTTTAATTCATGAGACTTCACTCCTAAAATAAGATAAATATGCACATTATTTGTTATTTACCTTTAACAGATGTGCAGTTGGTTCAGGTCACATAGGAAATTAGTCTATTTTAATATGAATATTTTTTAGGCTAACAAAACTCTGGCTTATTTTTCTTGCTAATATGAGCCTGAAAAAAATGCCTCCTGCTTTGGTCCATGGAAAAGGAAAATATTCTTGGGGAAAAATTAAGTACTTCTGATCCCCAGAGTTCTGGACACTGTATTAAAGAGCTTTTGAATCTAAGACTTCTGGAATTGTTACTCCAGCAAATAATTCTGCATATTAAAAGGGGGCAGCTAATACATATGAAAGCAATTGTTTCAAACTTCAGAGCTCTTTCCAGTACTCTTACAGCTCCGAGTAGCTTTCTATGCCAGTTTTTTGCACATTAGTGTGTAGCGGAGAGAGTCTAGACTACTTATCAAATAACAATAATACTTTTAAGACCTTTGTTTGAAAATTCTTTAGAACTTCATTAAAATCTTACAATTCCCACCCTCTTCCACAGATTCCATAAACACGCTGTGCAGAAACTAACTGCAGAGAAGACAAGCAGCAGTTAACTCTAAATACGGCCGTGTGGCCGTATCTGTCTGCTCCAGTGAATTCTTCAAAGTCTTGTGAAATAAGGAAACAAGGAATGGAAACTCAGCTTAATTAGGCCACTGACAGTTTTGCCCCTCATGTCATCAGATCCAGGACTTTATTCCCTAAGTCATGATGCAGCTGAAAAAGACATTGGTTGAGAAGTTAGCAAAGGACTGGAAGGGCCGCGTTACCTTCCCCAGCGTCTGTTCCGCCAGAGAAAAGGCGTCCATGAAGGCTTGTGCAATTACAGACAAACAGCCATCTATATGTGAGGTCTTCTTAATATCAAAGACAAACTGGGGATTCTTCAGTATGTTCACCCAGAAGCGAAGAGGAAGACTAGACAGGGAAAGAACAAGCATCTTTAAAATTAACCACTCAGGTAGCACAACTGCTTTAAAATCCTAGTTCAGTTGCCCTGCACTTATGGAAACAAGCACATTTCTGGGCTGCTTATTCCTGTTAAAAAGGGACCAGGGAACAAAGGCTACCAAGCAAACACATCAGTCAGTCATCCTTCCATCTTCAAACCCTTCTTTCTGAGTGTGAAGTCAGCATGCACACTGGAAAGTACGGCGATTTGCACTGGTATTCAATCAACATACTAAAATTACTGGGATCCCCAAAGCCAAAACACATCTTCACCCAGACATGCCAAAATCTTATTCTTCTGATGACAGATGACCTGGTCCATCTTTACAACCACACTGTCAGGGAGCTCATGTGCCCCTGCACATATCATATGGGCGTACCTGTTCGTTTTCCATATATGCACTACATCAGGGTCAGTAATTTTTTTGCTCTCAGCCTGGGCATCCAGAAAGTCAAAAAAGTACTTGATGGCAACAGGTGCTTTATTGTTGGGTAAACTCCAAATGCTCCTGAAGAGTTTTTCAACGTGTGAATGAATTGCAACCTGAAAAGTAAGGAAATGAACAATGTTATTATTACAAAAGAAAAGAACAGGATTTCTAGTCTCAGAGAGCTGAGCGTGCTCCAAGTTAACCACACACAGAAACTACAACATGCTCAATGGGCGAACATCCAGGTCACAGCTGATTGGAAAACAAGCCAGTCAAAGACAAAAATGAAACTACAAATACAGCACAACGAGCTGCTTCCAAATGTGATGTGTCCTATCACTTTACCAACCAGAGAACTGTGGTCAGCTTTGCGATAAATCTTAGGTGGAAGGAATCACTCGTTCCACCAAAGACAACACCATCTCTTCAGATACCGGTGGCATCGACCCTTAAGGCATTTGGAGCTTGTGACTGGAAGTAAAGAAGGTGAGCAGAAGGATTCAACTGGTTTTCTAGGGCACTGGTCTTCATGGTGCCATCTGTGACACATGCTGAAGAGATTCACTCATCAACACTTCACAGCCGAGTGACTGTGGTGCTTGATCTAGTTCTAGGATAACAGCTTTGGGTGGAATACAAATATCCTAATAGAGAGAAGAACTGAAAACTGGGCATTTCTTATCTGGAAGTGAACCTATCTGGGTCACAAAAGCAAGAGTCTGGTGGCTGATGGACTCACTGACATCATCACAGAGTATTCCTAAGTAGAGACAAACAAAACAAAACACTTTTTTGTGCTTTTTTTTCCTTCACATCAGTTCTGAAGCTCAGTTCAGCCCAATATTCTCTCAGAAAGAAGGATTTAAACGTATCCCAGGGCCTTGATGTGCTACTGGCCAGTTCATTTGGCGTGTCAAATTCTGCAGTTGGGTCTGTGCATGCTGATGTGCGAGAGAGAGTGGGGAGACAGGTGTGGTTCAGTGCCATTGCCTTTAGTGCATGGCATATCATGGGTGGAATTTCACAATGAAGGCTATCAGAGCCTATCCTACTTTGGAGAAGGAGATGATTAATTTAAAACTCTTTAAAAGACTGTTTCTTTAGAGCCTGATCTTTTATACTTTAATCTCCTACCACACTGGTTTACTCCAATGACTCCTAACAGCTCGTGTTACTTTCCACAGCTGATGAGAAATGACCAGTCTTGATTGTCACTTCGAGTAGTAGCCCAAATTACTTCAGATGCGATCAACAATCTAATTAAATAATGACTGACAGATTTTTTTTTTTAAATGCAAAAAGGCCACAATCATGATCTTTTCAGGCCTCTCGTATTGCACAGCTCTCAATGTTGTGCATTGATAAATATTTTAAGTAATATGCTGTTGCAAATAGCTTTATAACCCTTTTGAGTAAGTCAGAAACAAGATGACATTACTGGAGTGAGCAGGCCTTATTTGTAAATCATGTCCATTGTATAAAGTAGGTAATTGTATTATAAATCCTAAGGACCTTGTTTTTAAAATCAATGTAATTATTTTGAACGTTTCATTTGAGACCCTGAAAGATTATTTCATATTACAGACAGTATTTTGTCAAACTCAGGCCTTGAAAGTTGTCTCTAAGACCAGCAAGCCCTAGTCAATATTAGATGGTTGACTGAAGGCTCTCTCTAGAAGGAATTTTTCTCACTCTATGGGATTCGGTGAAAAAACTCACTTTCTATGACTCAATAACTGCCTTTTTTCTTTAAGTTGAACTGCAGAGATAGAGAGTCCAAGTGATAGACAATTCTAGAATTCTGGCGGTGGAAAACCTGAAAGGTGTCTGTCTTTGCAGATGGTCATAATCCATAGTTAGCACAGTGATTTTTATAGGCCAGCTTTTTGTTTAACACTTGACAAACAAGCAGGAAATCTGCATAATTTCTGCTTTAAAGTCTATTTCTGTTGTGCCAAACTAGCCAAGCCTAACATCATCCCTCCCTCAAAATAAGGCCTTTACAGTTTACCTTGGTTGACAGAAGCTTTGTCAGATACATTTCTTTCACTTTGAACTTTTGCTTTCCTTTGTGACCTGCTCCTTTCACATCTTTGTTTGCTTCTGAGTCCGGTAAAATCTGTCATGAAGAGATTAGAGAGATTACACAGATACCAATACCACTCAGAATTAAATCTACCACTTAGCAGTGTAATGACTGAACTCACCAAATGACAGTGCTCATCCGAGTAGTCCACATCTAAACAACAGAACGCAGAGAGCAAACAGGCATTAATGAAACACATCCACCACAAGCCTGTGGACTCTGCTGGGCTCTGGGCTGTGCAGCGTGGTGCACGCCAAGATGCCGAGCCAGCAGGCTCAGTGTCACAACTTCCTGCCTGTAGCATGGGGAAAGCCTCTGAGAAACACACAGGTCCTTCCTGCCTCACCTCCCTGCTGCCAACCTGTAGCTCGGACTGCTAAGCTACAGCATCATCTGCTGCCGCTGCTGGGATAACCTGGCAGGAAATTGCAGCTCCTCCAAAAGGAGGACAACAGACAGCAGACGAGATGATTGCATCGGTTTAGTCTGCATGAGTACTCCGTGTAGGCCAGCTGAGGTCAGGCTTGAAAGCAGTGGCTGCGAACAAACAGCCCCGCTCTTGCTGAGGGAGACAACAATGCCATCCCAGCGACTTGCACCTCAGGGACACATCTCTCCTAACGGCAGATGACCTTTTTAATGGTGAGGAGAATCACACCTAGGAGTGTGGAGTGTCTGTTTCTCCCTAGGGGCTATAGAAAGTCCACTGGGTGGGCTGAAGCAACCTGCCTCACAGGGGTAGGCAAGATGAACTGACCCCTTGTGTGAGCACCCTTTAAGATGAGACAGCTGAGTCAAAGCTTTCAGAAATGAAGAAGAGAATAAGGAAAATTCCCCAACTACATTTTTTTTTATGCCTGCCTCTGGACAGTTGCACCACTATGCCCATGACGCACAACGCTGGGCACCAGAGCAGGGCATATTCCCTGTACTGGTCTCACCAGTCAGCAGTTCGTGTCACCTGGGCTTCCCTGCCTCACTTTCCTGCCTGTGAGTCTGCATCCTTAAGCATTCATTTGCTGAGGGCTCGAAGTCCTTCTGTCCTTCCTTCCTTTGCCTTCTTCCCTCCTCCTAGGAAGAGGCCCAGAGCCAGGATAATGTGGCCATTCATTTGGCTCAGCTATATCAAAGTGCCAATTTTTATGACCTGCTCTTGACCAAGATATAAACTTCTATAGCCCATCTGCTCTCTGCGTTCCCAACCCATTCTCCGTAAAGATTAAATAAGTTGAAGGTACTTTGTTACCTGCTCGAGTATTTGCCTTCTTTTTAAAGACTTTTATGGTTGCTCCATTTGAAATCTGAAAATGGAAAAACCAAACATATCATGCTGAAACAAAAGCAAAGTTTCATTTCCTCTGTCCTTAAGTCAGTGGCAGCACAGAAGCGTGGCAGCCCACTTTGTTCTCACCAGGGTGTGCATGGGTCTCAGCAGGCAGCCAGGGCTGGGCTCTCAGGCACAGGCAGCAGCTGCAGTCTGTTAGCCCTACCGGGCAAGCTGGGAAGGCAGCTCTTCGGACAAAGTGGCCTTTAAGGCTTTTATCTTTCTTATTTTTCTCATTTTATTTCTTTCTTATTTTTCTGGTTCAGCCCCTACTTGGGCATTTTCATTTCCAAGCACTGCTTTGTGCTGCTTCTTGCACCCATGTTTCCATGCATTGCCAAGGCTGAATCCTCTTGCTCCAGTGCAATAGGGTCTTACAGGAAGATGAGGCAGGGAGGGGAACACGAAAATTATTTCTTTACTAACCCCCTTCCACCAACTCAGTCCATTCCTCCCATGCCTGATGGAGGGGCCCATGTTGAGGGTCTAGCGTGGTGCCTCCAAGAACTATTTTCAAACTGAGCAAAATATTTACACTTCACGGACTGCAAGGTCAAGATCTGTATCCAGCTGCCTTGGAATTTCTAGGAAAAGTCTACCCTCCTCCTTCCCTGAATTTACAGTGCTGCCAGGATGGTAACTATTATCTTTAAAAGAAACTGGCAAATCATGCTTTTATTGTCAAAGAGTAACTCAAAAACAGCTCCCACTGAGAACTACACCACTGCTCTGCTGTCAGATGTTGGGTCTGGCCAAGTGCTAGTGTACTTCCCTCTATAATTACAAAAAGAACTGGCCAGTTCTAGTATGGGATCTCTGCCAAAATAATTTAAGTGTTTTTTAAACCTTGGCAGCAAGCCTGGTGTGAGAAACCAGTTTAAACATTAAGATACTCTATCAAAAGCTGTGTCTTGCACCAAAGAAATCTGCACTCACACTTGCTCCTGGAAAGTAAATGCATTCTATTTTATAAGTATGAGTTTTTGCAGGGTTTCCATTTATCATACAGTGTTTCAGAGCTCTTTCAGCTAACATGGAGCACTTTAAAAGCACACTAGAAGTGAGAATCTGCTCTAAGGCTAGCTTGTGAAGTGTCACAAACACCCAGAGTCCTCCTACTTGGCCCTGAAGATAGATAAACAAGATCAGGGCTACCCAGCAGCTTTCCCCCTCCTAGAGCAGCGCAGGCAGCGTGCTGCCTGCACTCCCACTCCACAAAGCAGGAGCAGCTCAGTGCTGTAATGTGTCAGCTCCTGTCCTCAGGGAAACGGGCAGAGCTCAGAGGGAGAACTGTGCTTCCCTCCAGGAGTTGGTGGCATTGGTGAACCATAGCCATGATTCAAAGCCCCACTTAAAACTTTATTTCTAGGACAAATGAGGGGTTTAGCATTGAGTGGAATATGCTTTCCCATCTTCATCATCACTGCAGCAGCCACATTTGCTGTCTCTTTTGGTGTGATCCCATAAAAAAAAAAAAAAAAAAAAAAAAAGACCTTTTTGTGTCCTGCAGCCTAAATCACTTTTCATGGTGGACTGCTCCCCTGCTCCCATGGGCAACTCAAAACATCTTTGCTTTGTCAGGTGCATTACTGAAGGGGACACACAGGGAGGAGGAGATCTGTTCAGATCTTTACAACATGGAGTGCAGCTACTTTGTGAAAAAGAAGATGTGGCAGTGTGGCTCTACACATCTTCCTTTTCACCTCTTCCTTTTCTCCAGGCCTCCTGTCTTCCCTGTAGTCTAGCTCCTGCCAGTGAGATTCCTGCACTGCACATTTGGATTCACTCTCTGGGGCCGTGCCCACTTCCTTGGATGTGCAGTGCTGCTACACATGGAGAAAGTGGAGATTTGTGAGTGGACAAGAGATCTGAAAACAGTTCTCTAGTTCTCTTCTTGTGTGAGAAATAGGACATCATGAAAATCAGCAGCTTTCAAGGCTTGTAGCTATTCTTATGCAAACAACAGTGCAGACCTCATAAATAATCACCTCAATAACCCTGCTAGGAGAAAAAAAAAAAATAGAGCAAAAGGATCGGACAAGTCAGAGACATGGACAAGTCTAATAAGACTACAGTGGATTTTTTTTCCTTTCAGAAACACCACACAAAAATGCAAACATCCTCTATGTGTGCATTTAAAAAATCAGTGTAGAAACTAAGTCTGCGTTTTCAAGACTGGTGGTTCTGGGACCTTTACAATACAACCATCATGCTTCAGAATCTTAAAAAGATTTAACAGTAATCCCCAGTTTCAAAAGTCTGGTTCCTATCTAGCATTTAAGGCTGGTAAACAAAAAAAATTCAGGCTTGCCACAAAACTCTAGGCACTGGTAAAATGTAAGCTGGAATTCGTCAGGCAATGTTATCCTCACACTGTGTACACAATGTTCCTCTTTCTTGCTAACTAGACACCTTTACATTCCTTTTTGCAGTAATATACATACAAGAAAATAAACCAGATATGCTAATGGCTGATACTTGCCACTAAGCCTCTGCCTAAAATACATATTATTTTGTCAGTGAACTAAAATACCTAACAGAGATACCTAACACAATTTCCATAAGGCAGCTGCTAAGCTATAATTAGCATAGTTACAGATTTGCAAAACCAACTGATCCTCCAACCTAAGTTGCATCTGCCTGCAGAAACCAGAGACAAAAAACAGGAGCTGGGACAAAGACAGCCAGGGATGACAGAGACCAGCTGGAGCAGACTCATTTGCCATGAGATATGGCACCCACGAGCCACAGCATGCCAGGAGCTCAGGAAGTGCCGAAAGCTGCCGGGTAAAATCAGGGAGCTGCCTGTAGTAAAGAGGACAGGTACTACCACATTAGACAGAAGTTCAAATATCTAATCAGGTTCAAATCTGCCCTGACTTTTGCTGCATAGACTCTGGCTGCGACGCTACAACGTCCTAATTTGTACAAAGTCTTTGCAAGTGAAGCGGAGGAAGTACCACGTTCATCTACAGCCAAAATTCAAGAGAGGCCCAGAGAAAGCTGTATTTAAGATACTGGATGATGACTCAAGACATCTGGATTCACTGTTGCCTCCCCCAGAGTAAAGAAGAGCAACAAATGCCTACAGAAATCTGTGAAGTGACTCCAAATAAGCTTGCTTCAGATCTGAGCAGCCTTGTGCTCTGCCCAAGCTACAAACAGTCCTGCTAGGAGGCCTTGTTCATCTCTGTGGATGGCACTGTGTTTGCTCCTGCAGATAGCACTGTCTTCAGGGTTGGCTCAGGTTTCTCAGCACCACACTGCATTGCACGGCACAGACCTACACTCACCAGCAAAATTTCTAAATAAATAAAAATTGATTATCATGTTAAAAGCCAGGCTTTCAAATCCAACGAGGCATGAAGAAAGCTCACTAGAAGTACTCGGTGTGCTAACTTAATTTCTAAAACCTTTCTGTAAGCATCAAAATGTGAAGCAGAGTATCACCCAAGGCAAATAATCTGTTGTACATTTTACCCCAGCCTCTCACCCTCTATTTTGACTGGTGTCAGTGAAAACTACTCAGACAGGCCACGCTGCCTGCTGTGCTTTTGCAACGTGCTACACTCAGAAGGGCTCTGCCACCAGTTGCAGCCTTGTGTGTTGTCACACTGATGGATGGATCACTGCAGCATTGAGAATTACTGCTTTGGAGGTGCAACTGGAAGCAGAGAGGAAAACTTACAGTATAGGTGGCAACAGTAGATGGGAGCAGAAACTGAGAAAAAGGGAAGGAGACTGACACAGGAGGTCTCAAGAGAAAAGTGAACAAACTCATCAGTCCTTTTTATTCTGACTCAATGAACTTTCACAAGTTTCACTACTGCCTGTTCAGATAATCAAAATTTGAGGCGGGAAGAGGTAAACAATTGCTCAGAATGTAACAAAAAGCAGCAGAGACTAGAAAAGACTCAAGGCAATGTTCATAGCTAGAAATTAGATGCTGTTCCAACTGAAACGCTCAACAGAAGTAACAGTTTACCTGATAGGCTTAAACCAAGCAACCCTGCAACAAGCAAACCTCTGAAAAGTAACTGAAAACCTATGACTCACTGGCGAGAAAGTTGTGTCACAGGTTTCTTTCCTTCTGTTGAAGATGCTCAGCTGTCTCTTCAAGATTTTGATCAATCATGATACTTCTGTACAGACAGCATTTTGGATTTGGGGGAAACTGCTTCTCGATTCACTGGTATGCCTTCCATGCTTACCTCATAGTGACCGATGGTATTTAGCTTCCTTATCCCATCCTCCATCACCTCTGAGGAAGCATCAATATCTAACAATTCTCTTTGCTGCTCCTCAGACACAAGTTCTGCAGTACAACAACAACAGAAAACAATTACATCTCAATGACATTCTCACTGTACAGATGTTTGTAAAGAAAAGCAATACCTAATTATTTTTGGACAAGTGGCTCCCAACCAAGCTGCTCCTCTCTGTCCTTGTGCTAGGATGTAGGAGACTGCTTTTGCATTCTCACGGGACAGATTCCTTTTCTGGGGTGACAGCCTGGGTGGTTTCAATTACTGCAGGCTATTGGTGCTTCACTTTGTGTTCCTCAAGGCAGAGTTTCTGGAGGTCCTTTGACCTAATCTAGCTATTCTGTTGCACGAGCGTGCCCCCAGTGCTATGGCCATGTTGGGACTAGAAGAAAGGTTTCACAAGCCACTTCTAAAAGATCACTAAAATGAGCTGTGCATGACTGACATAGGGTTTGTGAAGGGTGCTCAGGCACTGGCGGTGGATAGAAACATCAGATCTGAAAATGAATTATCCTCACTTGCCAACACAGTGTTTGAAAAGGTGAGGAAATAACATCTTATGGAGGTGACAAATGCCAACAATGTAGAGTTTATTAGATTTCCTACTGGAGCACATGGGAAGTGGTATGGTGGCAACTACAGGGTTTTATCTGACCTTGGGCTCTTGAAAACCCAACAAGAAAAGGTGGTTTGACCCCTCTACTGGAACAGCCTTATTTACATCTGTCGATATTGCACATATCTCTGTGAGTAACATGGGAATTATTATATAACTAATCTGGCAGTAAATAAATTAGATCTGTGGGCTCTCCACAACAAGGGAAATGTAGGCCTGTTGGAAGGCAGGGTGGTATGAGGGACAGTAGGGAGGGACTAAAGTACTTGGTAATCATGAGGTGCCATTTTACCCACTGACAAAATTTATTAACCGGCAGGTGAGCAGGCCACCTTAGCCCAGAAAAGGAACATACAAATTATACATGTTCAATAAATAACGTGTTTGTTAAGTGCATGTCCTTGAAGAAGTGAATCAGATGTAGTTCCAGTGTTCTAACTGGTACCATAAATGATCTTCTGCTTCCCTAGAAATTCCTTACAAAAGCTATGCTCTGCCTAAATGTTAAAACATTAAAGTCAAAGGTAGGAATTCCTAACAAAAAAACTCCAGACCAGTGAAGTCCAAGAAAATATAGCACAGTGACTCTTTCTTACCAAGACCAATTTCATCCAACTGAAGACCATAGAGAAAACCATTCTCATCCAGGTAAGCCTGAAGGCTCTTCTCCTTGGCTTGGCCTATGGTGTCGCAGTCCAGAACATTAACTGGGATAGTTTGACAGGCATCTCCACTCTCATTTTCTGGTATTTTTTCAAAGATAATGTTCACTGTCTGGTGAAAGAAACACACATTATTCTGACTTACAGGGAACAGCTGGGAAGCCTACGCACTCCTGACAGAAAGCTTGAGAGATTTTCACCACATTTATTATTAAAGCTACTTCAGAGAAAGTTTATTTGAAGGAATTACACAATGAAGCATTTAGAATTCCTCGTGTTCAAAGAATCAAAGATACATAGCTATGTATTTCCAAAAGTGTATTTTGTATCCTGCTTTTGTGTAAATCTATTTCAATGAATTACCAAAAAAACCAGACAGGAGACCAGAAAAAATTACAATGCATATGTTAAAAAAAGCAGATCTTCTATTTACACTGAGTGCCTTAAAAGCAAAACTGTAAGCAACTAGAGATCTGATAAGGTTGCTAGGCAAGTTGTCATAAGTACCATTGATTTTGAGTGGATAGGAAGCAGTGTTAAAGTGCATATTTACACCAGCAGATTATGCTGAGTGCCTTATATCATACAAAAAAATACACCACCCCTGGAGATGTCAGTGTCTGTCTACGTACAGTTGTGTCTCTAGAGGCAGGAGAGACAGGGCTACTGCAGAAGCAGTGGAAAGGGAAGGCATGTTGCAGCACACTGAACCCAAAGTGGTCCAGATCTGCAAAAAAAAAAAAAAGTGTGATTTATTCTATTACTTATTACTCCAGGTCAAAGACCCACAAAACCTGTCCAGTTACAACACCCCTACCATTTAGCTCACAGCTACTTTGAGCTGGGACATAACTCATCTGCTAGGCTGTACACAAGGTGAGTATGGGCTAGAAGGGGGTGCCAATGAGACGGGGTGACCATCTCCAGAGAATGCTTTTAGTCAGGTCATATTTATGCTCAGGTCAGGCAGATCAACTGACAAAATGCAGAGAAAAAGGGATGAGCACAGATTTGCTAGTGCTGAGCAGTAACAGCAGTCATTTCCACTGTTCAGCTACACAGATAGAAAAGTTCTGCTGTAGAAGTCTTGGGACAGAATTAAAACAACCAGTTTAGGTGCCAGCACTTGACTGCAAGTGACATGAGAAAATCTACGTACTTGAACCATTCTGGCATAATACATATCTTTTGACTGAAAGGACTGCAGGTGTGACTCAGTGAAGGGGTGATCATTAAAAGAGGAAGTAATGAAAATATTCATTTTTCCTTGCTGTCATGTGAAGGAAAGAACTTCTGTCCAGGTTGCTGCAGGGACAACTGTTCTCCCTTATTAGCAAAACAGTTATTAATAGCTGTAGAATACTATTTCTGCACTCTTTCAGCAAGAGTGGAAATTACGGCACACTGGCAGTGAAAAGAAGTAGTCCAACGAGACATAAATTAACTTTACTCTTTCTACAGAAGCAAAAGGAGTATTAAAAACAGCACTGCAAAACTATGAAGATCAGGATTTAAACAGACTAGGATATAACTGAAGTAACTGAGAGTAACTTAATCAGGATACCAAGATGTTTAATTGTGAGGAAAAATGAGTCCATGGAAAGGACAGAAGGAACAGAAGAGGATATAAGGGACTGGTGCCTGCAGAATGGGAAGCAGATGGGATGCCATGCCTCCGGCTGGGATTTCATGCAGAAAATTAGTAAAAAAAATATATTGGCACAGGAACAAGGAAGTCATGCTTGGTTAGGCACAAAGATCAACAGAACAGACAGTAGTCCTGTCCTTGACTTTGACTGCCCTGAGGTTATGGTCTTGTAGGATAAAAATGTGGACAGAGGCTAACTGTATTTTGCCTTTGGAAAACTCACTTTAATGGAAATCTCTGTCTCTTCTAGTCTCCAAACTGATCTTTCTGGAGTTAGCTACTGACACTTCAACTGATGTTGATTTGTCTCGACATCCTTGGAAGGATTACTTCCTTCAGCCGATTCTTTCCTCCTAACACTATTCCTGCACTGCAATATTCATGTTCCTGCTTCTCCTTCATTTTCCCTTCCTTTCAGACTGTCAAGAGAAACTGTTTTTTTTCTCTGCTTCTTTCCTTTTCAGTACATGTTCTCACACAGATTGCACATAAATGTGCAGCCTCTTCAATTATTAGCATGCGAGCATCCTCCCATCCCTGCTCAACTCACTGTAGGCCGACAGGACTGTAAGAAGAGAGCTGTCGTCCTTTATGTAGGTGGAATACAAGTCATTTATGAACTCTTTAATCGAAAGTATCCATGATGTGAAGATAATAACAACTTTAATAAAACTTTATGACTCAAGGAAGTGGTCAGATGAGAAGAAATACTTAAATGTGTAGAAGTCGCTAAACCGAGAGAGCCAGACAGTTTGGTTGATACGATTTCCTGTAGAAGTTAATCTTAAGTGATGTAGCAATTGATGGGGAGCTAGGAAAGCCAATTATTATTAAGTCTTCCCCCTGCAGCTGAAGTTTTCATAAATCAGATTCAACCTGTCTGACAGCACAATCACTGGCTTTAGAAACCATTAATCAGAAACTGACAGCCACGATCACTGCATTTAGACACAAAGTGTAGAATTGGAAAAAGAATCAGAACTGACGATAAAATTATGAAAGCCCTTTTATGATCAGCTCTGAAGGTTAGAAAAGATGTAAGAGAAATCACAGAAGGGCACATGGAAGTCACGAGCAAACATCATCAGGCCCTCTTCTAGAGCTCTCTCACTTGGCAAAGGAAACAAAAATACAAGTAAACTTTGGCAAAGATTCAGGAGGAAATTACAGGACACGTGGTTCAACCTAGTAATTTCTAGAGACTTCATGCACTAGAAATTAGCAATTACCAACTCAGAGTCACAATGCTCTTCAGCAAAGGCTTAACATGGGTTGCAAGTATTGTTAAAGTCTGCTTAAGAAGAACAAGACAAGCACCTGCAACGACTTGTGCAGGGACTAGCTTAGAACTTAGCTAAAAGATAGGAACAGATTTTAAAAATGTTTTTACACTCACGCAGTGACAGAAATAATGACATTTGATGACAATGTTTACAGGTGGCTTTTCAGATTTGTAGTTTTCTTGAAAATTAATTTCAAACAATGAATTATTCAGTAAAGTTATTAATAACCATAGCAGATAATAAATGAAAGGTGGTTTAATAAGGAAATTTGATAATACCACATATTCTTAGAAGTAAAGACAAATCATCTGGAATATTCAAGGCCTCTTACTCATTACCCTATTCTCTGTTTAGTTATGCATCTGAACAAAGCATTTCGATTTATCATCCAGACTGAAAAGACAAGACAGAATTTTGATTGGTAGAAGTTAGAGGGTTTACGTAAAGCAGACAGCACCATGACATACAGCGTAACAAAACTGCCTTAAACCTACTCCCCTGTCTCTCAGACTGTGAAATACAGGAAACAGGAAAAAAAATCAGATTGATTGTATGATCCTTCTGTAGCAGCCAGAACAGTTACCCAAAAGCAGGCTACAGAACAGCTAACAAAGTGGCACAGAGAATGTTCCAGGAGTTAAATTTAGGCTAGAGGGGCACTATGCAAAGCAAGGTTGTACCCCTGGTGCTACAGGATGGTCCTCAATCTGCATCTAAGTCAGAAGACTCTCCCATAGCAAACATCTGCACTGCTCACTTCATAGTGAGAGCTGCTGTGTCCTTTTCTGCTGACGAAAATCCCCATATGTCACATGTTTTTAACAGCTTCCTTATCTCTCACAAAGTATGCCCAATGATACCACAATCATGGTGTCCTGTTAGGATAATTGGGTTCCCTCTTTCTGCTTTACTCCCTTACAGCCCTCCCACTTCTTTTAACACCCTGCTTTTAACTCATAAAGCAGTTGGACACTTTAAACAGGTTTCCAATACATAGTTTGCTTCACTTTCAATCGAAGGCTGAACAGGTGAATTAGAGCATTTCTTCCCATCTGAAAATGCTAACTCATTTCCACAAAGAATTCAATAGCCAAAATCCCTTTTTTTAAATAAGCAGTGACTATTTAAAAGAATCCTAGAAAGTCTACCACATGAAGAAGTCTCCCTTGGTTTTCCACAGAAGAGATTCCATTGAGTACTTTTCCCATGTCAGGCTAGCATTGTGTAGCTTTTCTATTTAAAATGAAACACTTCAGTGACATGCTGACACTCAGCTGTGCATTGTGCTTCTTCATCAGTCATTGAGCAAGTTATCTACGGAGGGGTGCAGCTACTTGTCTGTGAGAAAGCAGGCTTGCTTCCTCAGCCTGCAAAAAGGCTCTGTGACACATCCAAATCTCTTTCAAGGCAGTTTTATTACTTAATACTAAAATATAAGCACAGTGTGAAACCACACAGCTCCTCAGCTCATACTGGATCAGTGCTTTTAGAAGCATCTTTCCTTCAATACCTCTGCTTGGGTATTTACTTCAGCAGCATAGCTCTGTTCAGTATCTGATTGTCTCCAGCAGACAGGAGTAACAGTAGGGGGTTGGCTGGTCCCAAGGTCTGTGGCATTTTTAAAAAGGGCATGAGGCCCAGCCAAGGGGCAGTTCTAATACAACTCAAAACCAACATGTTTCTTAGTTCTCTTTTTTTCCTGTTAAAAATGGTCTGAGTTTCAGAAAATATCTCCCATCCTTCCTTCTTTCTCTATGGCCAGTGCTTCTTCCTTCTCCTGTGTTTAGCAGAAGACCCGTTGAGTTCTCCCTGGTTCTTAGGAGCCTGTCTGTATCCTGCTTTTATTGATTTGGAACTGAAATCCCAATCCTGAAAAGGAAAGATTTGCATGCAGAGTGCCTACACCCTTGTTTGTGCCCTGCCACTGATGTGAGAGTTGAACTCCCTGCCAGAGTCATCCCTGAGTCTTCAAGTGCCTATACAGCTTAAGAATTTGGACACTGAGTGCCTGCAGATGTGCTTCAGTATCTTTCGATCACCCTCTTTTTGGCTTTTTTTTTTTTTTTCTATACTAGGCTCTGGACACGTAGGCTTTAATGTACTGCTGTTGTGGAGCTGTGGAAAGGGGCAAAATAAAATACCACCAAAATACTGCAAGACTCAGAATGTAACTGCAGGGAGCAAATCTGCAAATACATCTGAATGCTCAGCTCACTTATTCCACTTAGAAAAAAAACCCTGCAGTCCTTCAGGCAGAAATTTTTTTTCCAAAGAAAGGATAAAATCCTTAGTTGCCTGTCTCAAAGGTCCCACATGTCATTGCAGTGCATGTGAAATGGTGTTAGTGAGAGAAGGAAAGGTCACTCCTTCAGCATCCTGTTAAATGCTATTCTTGAAGAGAAAACATGCACAGCTGGCCTGCTTCCCCAGCCCAGAAAGCCTCATTATTCCACCTAAATCTCTTTCACAGCATAATTTTAGTTGCCAGTGTACATCTTAGACAAAACACCAAACAAAAGTGTTTCCCCATCCAGCCAGAACTAGAGTCCTTGGGCTCCATCTCTGTAATTTTACTGTAGGATCCTCTCTCCTCTTCTGATGGCTTTAAAGGGAACATTCAGCGACTTCTCAACCAAGTCAAATGAACTGCTGGACCTTAGAGGGGAAAGCTGACTTACTAACCCTGTAACAGGCAACATCATTGCCTCCTATTTAAAAGCAGAAATACCAAGCACAAAGGCAGCAAGCAACATTTGAGAAAGGCTAGCTGCTCTCTCACTTCCTCATCCATCTGCAGACAGCCCTCCTCCCCACTGATACCAAGTCCTTCAGACCACTTCTCCTCTCTCCTCTTCACTGCAGGATGCCCACAAGACCTTATCAGTGACTGCATGCATAGAAGTAGCACTAGAAGAAGTATTTAAGGCAGTGTTCAGCAGTTTCAGATTCAGCTATCCCCCGCAAGATGCTCTCAATTTGAATTTGTGTTATAAATAAGAAAAGTCAATCAATTCCACAGGACCAGATGGTCCTGCACAGTCTACTAGTAACAGGCGTAATGAGCTTACTTGAAAATTGTTGCTTTTTGTAACTACTGGGCTTTGTATCCTATGGCTATATGTAGCAGTATGTTTAAACTTACCGTGGATCCCAAGGCATGCCAGAAAGCACAGCACAAACAAGGAAACTAAAGATACAGTATTACGCATGTAATTTTTAGTCACCGACTTCCTTTCCAAATACACGCTGTGGTAACTTAGCTCAGTGTAATTGCAAATGAAGCTTCCAACAATAGATTTGCAAATATCTGTAAGAAGATTTGACTTTAAATCTGTCAGTCCAGGAGCTTTCAGCAGAAAATGATAATTCAGAAACGTCTCACACAAAGGTTTTCATTTCAGGGAGCTTCCTGCGTCATGCAGTGAGCAACAGACTGCTGGCCAAACAAAATTTCCAGGGTCATATAGTCTATTCCAGCATGTGGCATCTTAAGATGCCCAGGTTCTTGCTGCAAAAACCAAACAGGCAGACCTGGAAACTCCAGCCCTACCTGAGGCTCAGGATATGGACTCTGAAAAGGACTGAATTCTCCTGCAAAGCCACCACCTCCCTGCAATGGCAGCTGCTGCCCTGGCAGTTTCTACTCCCAATCTCTGAAGCTCACTACTCAGTTGCACTTCTCATACTCCCAAGTATGTCTTGTAACTCCAATAGGAAGACAGGAGTTAAGATGCAAGGAAGCTATGGAAATGACTGGAAATGCAGATTTTTACGTTTTCAGACTCAAAACCGCTTGGAAATTCTGGATAAAGACTGCTCTGGTTATACTGAAAACCTTTCAGACCTCCTACTCAAAAAGCCACAATTTTTACATGCTCCAAAGTGCAATAAACCTTGCTATCCCTTCTCCCCTCCATGTCAGAATGACTATCAGGAAGAGAATTCCGGCTTTCAAAGAATTCTGGATGTAACTGTAAAATGGGAAGCACTTTGTAGTTGCTTTGAGAAAGGCAAGAAAATTCTGGTTAAAGTTTAGAAACTTAGCTAGGCTTCCAAAATACCTTGTTTTTAACCAAGCAACTGATTAAAATCCACCATACTGTAACCTTGCTAATGTGGAGCTAATTTGGAGGTAATAACATGGAAACCCACAGCAAATTATTGCTGCCTGGTGATTAGCCACAAGTAAACACAATAAATAAAATCTCTGCATTCCATTCTTTCATTCACTGGAAAAGTGTAATTTAGTTTAAACTCTAAGCATATGTTTATATTTCATCATATACTTTAAAATAAGAAGGAATTTTAATACCCTGAGACTTCATTAAACCTAACCTTTGGCAATTAAGGCGTGTTGTGAAGCAAGGAGTGAGGGCTGTGTGTGAAAAGTATATTGGTAAGACACCAGCTAGTTAAAACCGTATTGCGTTTCAAAACTTTGTCAGCAGTAACAATTTGATTATCCGGGTATTTAACCATCACCTTAGTGTCCAAGAGCCTTAATTTAGCTTCCTAGAAAAAGAGAAAACATTGTAGTTGTCTGTGTTTGGAGGGAACACAAGCTGACAAACTTACCACTGTTTTGAATTCAGACACTTGCCACAGCAGCCAGTCTTCATTAAGTGTGTACAGGGCCTTGCAAGTTATCGCGTCAACAGGTCCTTTGTTTATCCTGCGATTGAGGGTTGTCACTAGCAAATAGAAAGGTTCACCAATTGTCTCCTAGGACATGAAACAAACACAAGGAACATGCTTATTTTTGTACTCATTAAATGGGCATGAATAACTAGAAAACAATCAAGCGTAACAAATTATTTCCTTTTAACTGACTTGTTACCTTGGAATTAGAAAAGAAAATCCCTCTGAGCAGATTCATCTAGTTATTTGTTTAACCTCCATCCTTTGTTTTTTGGTGTGAAGTCTCATGCAAATAGCAAGGGACAGCTGGAGTGTGTGCCAAGATAGTTCACAGCCCCTTGCTGTGCACAAGCACACTGCAGACAAACTGCTCCTACTCCACCTGGCAGACGCTTCCTTGTTCCACCAAAGAGCAGGTGGGGGGTGAGACATGCATGTGTTCACAGACATATTTCAGCTATTTCTTCCTTTTTCAGTCGTGTGAGAAAACAAGCTAACAACTAGTGTCCTTTTGAATTGGCATCTCCCCTTGTTGTCCCTGAAAACAAGCCGTGGGAGCAAGGTGGTGGGACATACACTGGTGTATCAGCGAAACAGGGAATGAAACTGCAGCTTCCCTCTCCTGCCTGAACCCCAGGTTTCAGGAAAGCACCTGAGGAAGGATAGATAAATCTTTGTTTCCATGTGATACCATTCCTGCAGCCTGGCTAAGGCATCTCACTACTACAGCTTTGTAAAGATGACTGGTATATTGAGAACAGTTCCTATGACAGTTCCTTGGCTCTCTGCTTGGGTTTCAGGAAACCAGTGCTGAGCCTCAAACAATTCTGCTGTTGTATTAATGCAAGGACTGATATTAGTGATACCAACAGTGTCGTAGCATCACACTAGTGAGACAGGAAGTATAACCAAGCACCGAAACTAAGAACGAAGTGCTACCAAGTGGCCCAAAATAAACAAACAGTAAAATGAATGAAAACGCTTATTTTGTTTCCACTTGAAGTCATTTAGTTCTTGAAATCTGCAGTGCTGTTTGCAGGTTAAAAATTCTGGAAAAAAAAGTTTAGTTTTCCAAAAGACAGTATTCCTTAAATCTCCATGATGGTGTAGCTTTCCAAGCAGCTTGCACATAAAGGTACAGCTCCATTTTAACAAGGGTGTCAGTCTTTTGCTGTGATCACAATACATCTCATGGAGATGAAATAATGCCTGAGATGAGAGAAAGATATGCTAGAATTGAAAAATTACCCAAATCTCAGCCAAATAAATGACATGATCATCACTTACAGATGGGCTCTTTTCCTACATCTCCTTGATGATAGCTAGCTAAGTCACCAAAACTAGAAAAGCGGACGTTCTTACTGTTAAATATGAGACTGAATGCTTTCAACTGATCCTTCTAACAATTCCTATGGAAGAAATCAGTTTAAAAAATTCTTTGAATATCTTACGTAGTAGAAAGATGTACACGTACCCGGAGAAATCCAGAAAGGCAGACAGACATCCAGTTTGTCAGCAATTTTTCTACCACAGATTCAGTTCGCCTGAGCAGGAGCTTAGGCTGTACGTTGCTTGATTGCTCCATCAAGTCCTTTGTCAACACTTCCAAAATATCAGTTAGATAAACTAGCTTGCTTTGCAGTGCAATGGTCAAGAAGGAAGCAAACAAGCACCTGTTTAAAATAGAAAAGGAAAAAAAATAGCTATAGTAATTTGGAATTTCTCTTCCCAGTCATAACTGAAACACACTTTAGTGGAGCTCATATCCTAAGTTTTCCCTCCTTAGGCACAAAAACTGTGCACAGATCTCTACAAAAATATAAAAAAATTCAAGTCCATCTGCTCATGTTATTATTTTTTAAACACAAAATTTGTGTCTCTAAATTTAATGCCGCAGAACACCACCTGCTTCAGTGACAGAACATTTCTAAACTGTAGAACTGTTGATCTAACTGCAGGAATTGTTTACAGTTTTGAAGTGAGTTTTCCTGCACCTTTGCCTCTTTGCTTACATGTACAAACATTCTGATTTCTCTTTAATGGCAATGTTTTTTTCTTCCTCGGTGTGTGCAGATGGGCAAGATGGAAAAATGCTCTGGAGTAATGCAAGCTCGTTTTGCAAGCAGCAGAAATCACATTTGTGTGCTGCAATCCATGTTGTTTTTTTTCCTGCTAATTCTTTGTCTTGAATATTGTAAGCATAATCATACTATACCTGTCTTTCACAGTGAAATTTTTCTGCTTTTCAAGGGTGTGAATGAGAGTAACAAGAAACTTCTTGTTACAAATTAAAGCATGCAACATGTTGAAGCTTTCATCCTTGCTCGTTTGGTCTCCACTCTGGAACAGTTAAACAAAAATAAGCAAACTGTAGTTTGGCTATGATGGATTCTTCACACTCAGACAAATGGTAAGCAACATATGGGATAAGATCCTGGCCTCATTTAAATCAGTGGGAATTTTGCATTTATTTCATGAGTCTCAGGATTTTACCGAAGATGCATTTGCGCTTGTGTACAACACAGAGGACACACACGCAGACCAGACACTTCCTGCCATTCACACCAAGTAGTGCCAATAGTTAAGTCTGCCTGTCACTTCTCATGGCTAGATTATGTTTATTTTCTTTAAATAAGTCATAATATACACTGGGTAAGAGCTTCTTACAGATAAATTCCTTTTTATACACAAATCCATGCAACCCTCCTCACAGGGGAAAGGGAACTTACTGAAAAAGTAATCTGTTCTAGGACAACACTGAGATAAGGGACACAGTCACTCTTGAAAAAATATTTATTCATGAAGGCATATCACACTACATCAACTTACCTGGAGCATGTCTTCACTGAAGATGGATGTAAAGTATCCTGACTAAAATATAAGACAGGTGATATTAATCATTCTTACGTATAGCAGACGTTTCTAGCACACGTACGTTAAACAGCCTGAGCACGTTCCTGATGACATACAACTCGAAGTACACCAGTGGAAATGCTGGCTTCTAACGCAGCTACAAGAGAAAACCTCCACACAACTTCTGCAGAGGTGCTGCCAAGGTCCACTACAAAGTGAACTCTCAAAGGTGACCTGGTGTTGACTTGAGCATTACTGTGGGTGTTACTCTACGCTGCTGAGCTGCACCAGCACAGCAGGTGACTAACTGTCTGCAGGAAAAGCTCTTCATTACCCTCCTCTGCAAACGTGCTCGTGCACAAGGGGTGTTGCATCCTGCCTGGGTGGCAATGACAGCCTGGTATACTGTGTTTCTGTAACAGAGTGGCACTTGAGTTCATCTGCCTCCATTCACTGCAAGGCACTCCATGAATGTTCACTAATGAACTCTGCAGGAGGTCCACGCATTCAGTCTCCATAGAGGCACAGGTGCCCCCACACATCCAGTCCTAGCAAAAGCTCTCACAACAACGGGAAGCCCCCAGTTCTCAAATACTTGGTCAACGCCTCTTGACTAACTCTTACAGCCTGTAAGGCCCCAATACAGCATGTTTCCAAAGCAGCACCCTTGAGCAATGAATTCAACATGAGTGATATTTACTGTCACCTACTTTATCTGTGATGCTGGCAGCCCCTAGCTTCCTTATAGAATCATAGAATGGTTTGGGTTGGAAGGCACCTTCAAAGATTACCTAGTCCAACACCCCTGCCACAGACAGGGACACCTCCCAGTAGATCAGGTTGCTCAGAGTCCTGTCCAACCTGACGCTGAACACATCCAGGGATGGGGCATCCACAACTTGTCTGGGCAACCTATTCCAGTGTCTCACCACCCTCACTGTAAAGAATTTCTTCCTTATGTCTAATCTAAATCTACCCTTTTTCAGTTTAAAGCCATTGCTCCTTGTCCTATCACTACAGACTCTGGTAAAAAGTCTCTCTCCATCTTTCTTATAAGCCTCCTTCATAATGAAAGGCTGAAATAAGGTCTCCCTAGAGTCTCATCTTCCTTAGGCTGAACAACCCCAACTCTTTCAGTGTGCTTTCAGAGTAGAGGAGTTTCCATTCCTCTGATCATTTTCATGGCCCTCCTACGGACCCTCTCTAACAGGTCCATGTCTGTCTTGTGCTGGAGACCCCAGAGCTCTACTCCACTGCAGTACTCCAGGTGGGGTCTCACCAAAGCAGAGTAAAGGGCAAAAGTTTACCTTTGTGAGATCAGTATTTCAAACTGAGACAAAATCTAAGTGGAATAATTTCCAGGATATGCAGTGGCACAAGACTCACCAAGGCAAAAGATGAGCCCTCCCTGTTCTGACCTCACATAATGCTACAGAATGGCAGATTTTGTGCCTTTTTTTCTTTCCTTTTTGTTTGCATAAAGCAAAGCATCTCCACCCAGACAGCTTCTACAAATTGTTACTGTTTTGACAGGGGACTATCACTAGGAAAAGATACATTCCTAAAAACACTACTTTAATGCTGATATGCCTGTCAACAAAACAAACTGAAAGGGAAGAGATGCAAAAAGTAAGGTTTCCTTGTTCCATTTTCTTCAGATCTCCTAGTGACCTCATACACATTAACATGGGGGACATCACAGCAGTACCAGAAGAGATATTCCCAGTTTCCTTTGGTATGCGAACCAGAATCAAAGTGTAGAAAGACCATGCATATGTAATTGTTACTTTGTATCTGGTATTTGGTGCTGTACAAAAAAAGAACAAAGCACCAATTCTGCACTATCACGTGTTTAACTTTATCACAATGACCTTTTAGTGGGATCATAGACAGTGATAAAGTAAAACAGCGTGCAGATTTGAATTCAGGACTGGGCTGCAGCAGTGACAAGGAACACATTTAGCCTAGAAAATAATTTGCATACATACCAGCTATAACCTAACACCACAGCACTAACCAAGCGTTTCTACTCATTGGTGTGAATTACACAGTGAAACATCACTAGTTATAGTAAGAGCTTCTGCCAATCTGTAAATGCCAGTAAGCACTGGTTAACACCATGATATAAGTTTGAAAGCAGTGGCAAACACGCTTATCAACAACATAACGTGCCACATATGCAAAAACATTCAGTGAAGTGAAACATCCAAGAAAAGGCCTCCTGTCCTCTGATGCAGTGGTGCAAACTCCTCCAAAGAGCAATGAAAATATCCACCTGTAAATTCAACAGCACTTAAGTATTCTTATGTAATTTGTAAGCATTCGACGTTCACTCCTTTGAATCAAGGTTTTACCATTTCTGCCAGCAACTTGGAGTGGAGAGCACGACCTTAGAGCCACTTCCTCATCCCACAAGTCTAATTAGGAAGTGTCATGATGTTAGCTAGCTTGTTAGCTAGCCTGACTGTTACTTTAATTAGCTATAGCATAGAAGGTGAAAGCATGAGAACACAAAAAGCAATGGATAAATTACAACTTAGTTAGGATGAGCAGCTTAGTGAGGTTGGGCAAAAAAGAAATGGATGCATACACAACCCTTGAAAATTCAACAGCAGTGCTTTATCTACAGCATTTGGGCTTGGTTAACTATAGAGAAGTACAGCCATAAGTGTTCTTTGGTAAATCCTGATTTAAGAAAAGTTTCTTGTGAAAATAATGTGCAATTACTGTGTAGTATTTACTTCAGCTATTTGATCCTGACCTTCTCAGATTTTCATTATTAGACAGGGCTGACAACTGAAAGAATTGTAAATATTTACCTCTGGAAAGAAAGTCCTAAGAGCAAAGTGTTTGTAGTCGAGGAATGGAACAGTTCCAAAACTATCCACCACGTCTAATTCATCCATCTGCAGTTCAGCAAATCCTGAGAAAGCACCCCACACACACACAGAGTTAGTTTTGTTGACACAAAATCATGTTCACAATCATAACTTGGCCCCACCAGATGTTTCTTAAAAAAACAGTTTTCAGGCAGCAGGGGTTGTTTTTCTAGCTGAAACTCTTATAAGCCGGAAAGCACAAGTCCATTTTTTTCACTTTTGTTGAAGGAAATATTACATGCAATCCCATTAGCTCAATGCTATCTGCTACTGCAGTGCACACCAATGTTAAAGGGGAAATCTGATACAACACAAAAATATTCTAACAGCTATAAAAATAAAATTCTTATATAATGTGAGCTTCTTGGCAATTTAAGTTCAGAAATTACACTATAGTCAAGCTCTATAAAGCTCTGTAGACCTACCCTCACGTATTTCTTTCCGAATTTCATACTCCAGTAGTTCAAGTTGCTGACTCTGTTTTCGAGTTAACTCTTTGGATTTGTATCTAGTAACTATGAATGCCACTAAAAAGGAAGAAGAAGATTCTGAGTACAGAAACTGCAAAACAGAGAACCCCTATACAAGACATATTTTAATATTATTTTAAGAAACAGAAATACACACTTGCACTCTCCAGGAGGTTTACTGCTTCTACTGTTGTCAGTGTTCTAGTACTCACAAGTCCCACTTGTGTGAATCTAAAACCACGTTTAACAAAAAAAATTTCCTCATAATAAGCTCTTAGAAGAATTGGCAATCCAACTTTGTTTGAAAGTACAGCATACCCTATGTACAACGTGGACAATGAGAGACAGAATCTAACAACCACTTCAACTATTACCAACCTACTTAAAGTGGCTTTGATTTAACAGGAAAACCAGTTCTTTTGAACAGGAAATCTATTTCCAAATTGTTAACTTCTCTAAAGCTTATCTGGAGAGTAAAGGCATGAGATATGGCTCCTGTAAAGGTGATGCACTTTTTAAAAAGAAACCCAAAATCCCAGAACAAATCCCCAACCTTATTACAATGAAGAGGAATTTATCAAATATATCACCAGTGCAAAATATTTAGAAAAAAGGGGTGACAAACAGAGGAGGGGATAACTATTTGTCTCCTTAATTTAGCAATGACCTACAGATTCATGAATGATCCAAATGAGACCGGGCAGAAACACCACAAACACTACGTGAGGATAAGCAGATTGTCAGGGAGTATCTACCCCAGGGATGTGAAGGGAACCCAGCTCTGAGAGCTGGAAGGGCCCAAGCTGTGAAACAAGGATGTCAGTCCCACAACTTGCTTCACTTCATGGTGAGTAATCCCAGCAGGACAGCCCAAATTACTGTCTTGTATCATGCTGTAGTGTGACAAGCTGGAACTACCAGTAGACCAGAGTTAACTTTATCTGTTCTTAATTGGAACAGGGGAAAACCATCAGACTGTTTGTGATAGTCCCAAACATGTGTGCCTGTATGTCTGTTTATGCATCGTGATTATACCCTTCAGCAAATCAAAACCTGAAAATATAATATTGTACTTACCTATAATGACACTCACTACAATAGGCAGCAAAATAAGAACATACAAATATATGTGTGATGATGTTGGTTTGACTTCATGCTCAAAGTTTCCTAATTTGACCTGAAGAAAAAAAATGTCTGTGTTAATAAAGAGCAGGCATTATATATCGGTGCTGAAAATGACATTTAATGTATAGAAAAAAAACCCAAACGTTTGAGGCACACGAAGAACCCTGGTTCTCCAGGTTATTGGGAAAGTGGCAGCAATTCAGGAAAACATATGTGAACCAAGCACAAATTTAAATTTTACTGTATTTCAAGTTTAAGCACAATAACAGCAGTGACAAGAGAAAATTTTGGTGGTCCTGATGAAGTACCAAATTTTGCCATTGGTCTCACTGCAAACAAGGCCTCGGATGAAGGGCAGGATCTGGCCTCTGGCTGAGTGGTCCATGAACTTCAGAACTGCTGCTGAATGGTCTGTCATTTTGAAGCAAGGAAGGCACATGATGATAGCTAAAAACATTCCTTTGCACTCACTGTGTTACTCTGCTGAGCAGAAAAGCAAGGTCTCAAACTGAAAATGAGGGAAGTAACATTTTTGATAGATACTTGGCCCACAGCCCTCTTCCCTATTTCTTTTCAGAAGTTTCAACCTCTTTATGTAGGATGTAGGGTATTCTTGAAGGTCCGCTTAAGAACAAATACAACATCCCCCAACAGGCTCTGGGCTTGTCAAAGGCAGGACAGACATTTTTTAGGAATACATGAAGTGCTGATGTCTGCCAGATGCTGAACTAAGGCATTCACCACTGATAATTATGGTAGAAGACATTTCGCAAAGGAGTATCCCAAAGAGGACTATGAAAACACATAAATAAAGGGCAGCTAAACCTAGAAACAGAACAGAAATGAAAACACACTTTGACACAGAAAAAGAATACCACCAAGTGCCAGAAATAGAAATGAGCCTGAGATAATTGAAAAGGAGAGTTGGGTTGAAATTATTTTGGGTTACAGCAGGGAAGGCAGAGATCTGGTGATTTCAATCACTGGCTTGTCACAGGACATGAGCAGCCAGGGCAGCTGGGCGCTGCCAAAAGGATAGTCATCGCACCTACACGGACACGAGCGAGCACAGAAATCCCAAAGCCTTCCTATTTCTGGGGCTACAAAACCATAAGAGAAAGCAGGCCTACTTCTTTCATCAAATGTGGATTTTTTCCTCAGTTGTTTATGTATTTTCACAGTTCCTGCCTAAGGTACCTTTGGCCTGAGCCTTCCTAGGATCCCATTTCTCTTTTCCAAGGATGGAATGCATTGGTGGCTAAACACATGAATCGTCTCATGACTAATACACCTGCCCTTCTCTACTAGTCATGTCCAACCAAAGCATTCCTAAAGCAGAAATTTCTGTTACTCATCCCTGCTTATTGAAAAACGAGACAAAGTATTCACTTAAAAATCAGCTTGTATCTTAGATCTTCACAATAACCTTCCTATTCAGTGGCCTCACCTCTTTCCTTATCTTCTATTTATCTTGCTTATGAATCACAGATCAATTAATGTACACCTGAATTAATCCAATTTCTATTCCTAAATTCATTGCATTCTCCCTGCAGGCCATTGTAAGACATCCTCTGGCCTGGTAATGCCTATGAGCTTTATGTCATCAGCAAATATTATTAGCACATCCCTTATTTTTCCACTGAAGTCGCTAGTGAAATTAAGCAATATCTGTATGAAAATCAACATTGCCTGAAGTCAGCTCCCCTTACACAGCATCTAGTTTTTCTAATCCCTAGCATCCTCATAATCACCATGTTAAGTAGTTTACTGAATGATTTCCAGGTACTTGTGATCTACCACTTTTTTGTTGTTGAGGAAATAATTCATCTTACAAAATAAATATCTAGCATACTCTGCTTTTATTAAAAAGAAGCTGACAATTATCTCATTCTCCATTTACCCCTAAGTCTTTCACAAGTCCCTCATTCAAAATACATTATAAAGTTTTACACAGAGCTAGGACTAAATCAGCAAGTCTCCAATTCCTATTTTTTTTTCTTTTAAATACTGGTTTTACATTTGTTGCTCTCCAGTCGTACTGTAAGTCTCCTGACTGAAGTTTTATTTAAAATCTTTTCTACTAAGCCTAGAAAATCATGTGCCAACTCCTTCTCAGTGCTGTGACAGGAATGGTCTTGTTCCTGCTGTCTTGAGCCCCTTGATCTATCTGAATCTTGCTCCCATCACAAGTATGACATTTTCCTCTTTGACACCTTCATTCAGACTGATCATACTGTCTCTGACCCCACACTCAATATACTCTTTCTTCCTGAAAACTAAGGCAAGATGTACGTTCATTCTTGGGCCACACCTATCTTTTATATCCAGCTTACCCTTTCTTCAGAGTGGCCCTACATATTCTATGATGATTTAATTATAAGAGTGAAAAAACACAATGATTTCCTACTTTCACATTTTCATTCATGTTGGAAAAAAAAATTTTTAGGGTACCAGAAGTTAAATATTATAGCTATTGCATTTTATTTGCCTTTGCGAAGTGGTGACCTCTCTATGACAGTCACTCCCATGAAGCCTGCAGGATGAGCATGTGATATTGCAAGGCAATGTTAATATTTAAACGCAACACCAGTCTCAGAAAGGCTTTTCCATGTCCTAAGTGGCTCAGACGGCAGGATCCACAGATGGAGGATCAGTTCACAGTGACAAGAAATTGAGAATAGCTTCGTTAATCTTTACTATGAGCCATATGCCTTGAAGTCAGTAGAGTTATTTCAGTTTTATACCACCATACACTGCAGTAAGAGTCTGGCATCATTTTTATCCCTCATAAACGGTGATGACTGCATTTTTAAAAAAATTGTATCTTCATCTTAGTCATGGAGGAAATATCTTAATCTGCCATTTAGCTTTAAAATCCATGGTAACGTTCTTATACTTGGACCAGGCTTCGTGCCATATGTTCAAAGCATTTTGGCCTTCCCAGTGCACATTGAATGTCACCCCCTTTTTTTTTAAATGCAGAAATGTCTTCTCTCCTGTCTCAGTGGTGATCCCTATGCACTGTTCAAGATCCTGTCTACTTCAGTAGGAAAAAGTGAACAGGACACAACCCTTCTCCTCATGGCCACACTGAAGCAGCAGATTGCTTACAGACCTAAGATGAGGAGCTCTCCTAAAGCCAGTGCTGCTGTATCTGTGATGTCTGTGCTACAGCTAGAGGTGTGACAAGCTACTGCTCTCCTGGAGTTCAGTTTGGGCTGCAAAGCCTACCTCGGGCACTACAGCAGTAACCAGACAGTAAATGAACTCAGTGCTCTTAATAGTCCCTAAGCTGCTCGGGCATGCTTACATGTGAGGAAGATAACTACTACCAAGTACCAGGAAAGCAGAAAATGCATCCAGTTCCTCCGTCTATAAAGAACATTAATGAAATTAAATAAGAACATAAAGAACATAACGAGCATTACTGGTACATTTTACTACATTTGTATAAGCATTCAAACACTGCTGAATTGCAAGAAAAGGGAATTCTACTTACAAAAACTTTCACTGTGGAAAAGTCAATCTTGTCTGTTCCTTCCCTTTTGAATTTGCACAGTATGGTGCTACGGTCTGGCTTTTTGGTAATATTTTGGACACTGAACCATATCTTTTTGGTCTGTGCACCATTCATATAGGACAGATAAACCTCTACCTCTGTTTTAGAAATATTCAAGTTGTCATTTTCTTTCTAGAGGGAAAAATAAAAAGACAATAGACAGTTACTAAATACAGTAAAAAAATTATCCCAAACAGCTATTTAAAATAAGGAATTAGAGTTTATCACTTTAAAACTTACATATATTTTTAATTCCAGATCAGGATCCAGCTCAGTGTGCAGCTGGTAGTTAATGAACACTGGGTCGGGGTGATAGTGTAATTTGACACATGGTATAAAGGTAGTTTCCACTTTCAACATCATATCAACAACTTTACCCTCTGTTGCATGGCTCAGGCTGGGCGTTAAGTAATGATACTCAGATTCATTTCCAGGACACCTAGAGACCTGGAAATGCAACAGCAAAGCCATAAACGTCATTAAGTACTCAACAGTGGGTACAATTACAAACAGAGGCACTCAAAATCATTTTAATGCCTTCCTGGCTTCACACAGATACCTGCTAAACCTCTTCTCTGTGATCAGGGCTGCATGCAGAGCACCTGGGAAAATTTCTGTGTTGAGCCTGTCTCTACCTTTATGCACATTTATCACACACTCCACATGCTGCTTTAAGGCTGATTGCACATTGCTACGGCAGCTATTTCCTGCAGCGAGACAGGAACAGTGACAGTGATTTCTCCTTCCTTCCTCTCAACACAGGTGACAAGAGAAGAGCATCTTTGGGCATTGGCTCTCCCCAACTTAACTTCTGAGAGAGGGGGGTTGCTACGGTCACCCCATTGCTTAGTCCATGGAGTGGTGCTGCTGTTTTGTGGTCTCTGTGCTGTAAGTCCAGGAGTCAACAGGATGCCTACATCCTTGCAGCCTCCCAAGAAAGGGTTTCATCCCAACATCAGCTCCAGTCCGCTGCTGCTTGCTGAGGCAGTGGCACCATATGGGTTCTCAACACTCAGCCAGAGAGAAGTACACCACCCCCTCCTCCAACAGTCCTATATATGGAGGTTGGGGAGACTCAAAAATGACAGATTTGGAACAAGTCTCTACAGCGTAGGAAAGAAGCTCAGGGAATTGTGCAGGAGAGTAGCTTATGTGCATCCATGACCTTGTACTGATAATGTGTGCAGCTGTAATCTTACAAGTGGTCATATTTATTCCAGTAGGGTGACTGACATGTGCCTGCAAGTGTTTGAAAAATATTGAGATTCTCCTGAAACCTTAGGAACACAACATAATCCCCCAAGAGACCTCTATTTGGTATTGTAAAGGAAAGTAAGACTTACTGTGAGGTTTGATCTCTGGTCATCTGAAATAATCACACTGTCCACCACATTAAAGTTTCTACCAATTGTAGTAACTTTGCGACCACCACTGAGAAAAAAAAAAAAAAAAGAGGGTGAAGGGAGGTTAATACTACTTGTTTTCTCACAGGTAAGTCCTGCATTAAAGCTTCAGCTGTGAATAAGCTACTCACAGGTGTTTTGCTTTGGTAACAGCCAATATAATAAAGCCAAACTGCAGGACAAGATAATTTGAGGTACACAGCATACTTCCATTCTTTCCTGATACTTTTGTTACTGCAAAACCAAATGGCGGGACAGCGTACACATACATGCGCCTTCGCAGGGTCTCTCCACCTTGCTCTCCAGTTGTTCAGCCAAAGAACTAGACTGTGACTTAATATTCTGTCTTGAAGACACAACATCATGGTATTTCACTGCCTCAGAGCAACCCTGCCTGTGCTTAATTCTTGCCTCCTTCAGGATGAACCGATGGTGCCAGGCACCTCACAGGAAACATTCTCGCCTGTATTCAAGACCATCTGTCTCAGCTCACACAATGGTGCTTGTGTCTGACGGCTCTGGGCTCACAACCTCTGTTCGACACATTTGGAGTGGTTTAAGGTATTATTCATTTCCAGCTGCCTGACCTGCCTCTCACCTGGAGATGAGGGCATGCATCCTAGCTGCTCAGCTGCTGCAGCTGCCAGACCAACTCATTACCCCAAATCCACACTTGACAGAGCCTGACGCCAAGACATCAGATTAAGAATGTGAAAGCGCGTTAAAACTGCGCAGGCAGAGAGACAGGTGGAAAGCTGCCCCTGAAAATATCTTAAAACGACTGTAGAGGTCTTTCACTGGAGCTGTGAGTCTCACAGAACACATCAGAAGCATGAAAAGGGCTCTTTTGGCTCCAGGGGAACCCAGTCCAGACTGTATCACTGCAGCGGTGATTATTTTCACTTCATTTCCAATTCATTGATACTTTGTACTGTTTACGAGGTAAAGGGTATATTGGTATCAAGAAATTAAAGTTCATTAGACTTTGAATTTGTATGTGCTACCAATATTTTGGATTTAGCTTCAGTATGGAGAGCATGCTTTTGACTGGTGGGCAGGCAGGAGTTTACAGAATCCTGCAGAACACAGAACTTACCTTGCACCTGTCATGACCCTATCTGTATGTTAAATATTAAATCAGTTCACTGGCATAAACTTGTGCCACCTGTTGTCAACCACAACAGGTTTACAGCAGTCATCCAAGTTTACATCAGCTGCAGTCTAGCCAAGGAAGATGGCTCTTAACAGCTCAGTGGGACTACTTTATTTATGTATTTTAAGAAATACATAAAAAGGTATATAAAGACAACCTTACCTGATCCAGGAGGTATTTGGTGTGATTCCAAAGCATGATGGCAGCGAAACATAATGCAGAGTCATTGGTGGTGAACATTTTTTCCCATTAGCCTGTATACATATACTTTTGGTCTCTTTACGTGTTGGTGGGAGAGTAAATGTCATCTGTGTGTCATTTAGCACATTTCTAACTTTAATGCTGGAGGAGAAAGAAAACAGACACTGCAACACAGATGCCACTGTGCCACTCATTAGTGTTACTACACAAAGCCTATAACCTAAAGCAAAGGATAAGGAGAAAAGATGAATGAATCTCTCTTTGAGCTGCCAGATGGAGGTGGAAGAACAGAGCAGGGACTTGAAAAGACAAAATAGGGCATCTTTTGAGCCAAGTTGCTATGTGTCACAATAATCACAGAAGACAGTACAGACACTGGTCTTATGGCCTCAGGCTGAGGCTATGTTATGCAATGTTGTGATTTTGCTGTGCTACTCAATGTGGTCCATGAGCTAGTCAAGAACAAGAATCTTCAGCTTCCTCTCTTCTTTGTCTTTCTTTCCCCCCCTTCTTCCGCCCTTTCACTTCCTTCTCTGTCTCTCTACTTCCCCTATCTCCCTCCTTCTCTTCTTTTATTTTCTGTGGTCCCCAGGAAATCCATGGCTGAAGTAATAATCGGACAGTACTATATGAATTCTTCAGGTGCTAGCTATGTAAAGTGGGCTTGGTAATCACAGGCAGCCATTGCAGCAACACCTGAAAATGAATGATTCAGAGAAAGATAGCCTAATTATCTAGGGTCAATCATCAACAGAGAAAAGTACAAGCTGTTGCATGAGAGATTCCTGACACGGTACTTATGCTTTCACAAGCAGAATCCTAGAAAATATGGGGAATATTTTGAAGCAGTGGAGAGTCAAACAAAAGCTGAGGCTTTCCTGTGACCAAACTTCTTGTTGCCTGATGCAAGGCAGGGAGGGCCACAGGTACAGAACTGTCCTACTATGGCTGAGAAAACTGCACACCTACCCATCCATCCCTTGTATTGTACCCAAACACCAAATTAATTTTCACCCTTTGGGAACTCAAAGTGCAAATATAACTAAAAGGGTGCAGAGCATCCCCCGCTCCGCTGACGAGAGGTCCACAACTGTTCACGTAACTGTACTGCTAGGGCAAAATGGGCATAATTTTCACCATGCAAAGTAACTAGTATTATTTTTCAGAGCTTAACTCACATATCTGGTTTACAGCCAGTAATTCCAGTCAGTATCAGTTTTATATCTGACGCACGTGTAAAGTTTTCTCCTTTGACTGTTACTTCACTTTTGCCTAACGTAGAAATCCACAGAGGTTCGATGGAATGAATGCTGATATGCTAACAGAAGACAAAGCAAAACAAGATCGGGTTATAAGAAGGCTAGGCAGTTAAATAACAGCTGCAAAAACAACCACCACTCAGGAATGCAGGTTTTATGGGACTGGGATACATTTTTCTTATTGGTTTCAAATTTTGTTAAGCTTGATCCTGAGAATACTGTCAATCACAACTTCTTTACAAGCTAACTATTTTTACTTACTTATTTTATATTTCAATTTATCTCATAACAAAGTTGCCCAAAGGAATCACAGTCTGACATAATGGAAGGTAAGTATCATAAAAAACCAGCTTGAGATGATATATTTTGTGTGACCCTTGAAGAAAAACCTATGGTGCTGTCACTATGAGAGATCAGGGAAACAAACTAAGGCATCTCTCATGACCTGAAAAGGGGAAGCAGGGCCACATCCTAGAACGAAAAGTCGAGAAAGAGTCTCAGAATTAGCTTTACTAAATAGTCTTTTCAAAATCACACACAGAGCTAAAGGTATCACTGTGGAATTTTTTTGGTATCCCATTTTGAGGCTTAGAAGTTTACAAATCTATTTTCCAGCATTTAAGAATAATCCTAGTTTGCTCTGATGCTGTCAGTCTTGCAGAAATGTGGCCGATTTTTAAACTGTGCTTTTCTTTATGTATCTTTATATTTACTTATTCTAACTTACACTGAAGAGCAAAGGGATTTTTTTTTCTCCAGTTGTATTTACTTGATGCATTTGACAGCATCTCATGTTTAATCAGTTTTTCTGCTTCCCCAGTTTTACAATCATACATACGCTTTCCTCTTTGTGTATCTTTCAGATAAAAAACTGAACATGTACTAAAAACACTAAAAAAAAACAGGAAAATACACATGTGAAACCACAAACTGTTTGGGACCTTCTCAGGCAAATAATTTCTAGCTTTCTTTTAGACTGCCTATAATACTAGTTTAAAGTTAATTTTTAGAATATTGTGATTATCCTGATTTCTGCTGTGCACCTGTGGACACGTCCACTGGGCCATTCAGCCTTCCTGACACTGAGAAGGGTGCCAGTGCAAAACCTCTAGGAAATTCCTTCCCACAGTTTTTCTTCCCATGGATCTCATGTACCCAGAGCAGCATTAAGACTGTGGGATGATGGCCTGAAGGGACCATCAGGGTCACATCACCATCCTCTGCAAATAGAGTGTTTGCCCATTTCGGTGAGATGCCCAGAACCTTATCCCCACATGCTAACACAGCCTG